ATAATCTTAGTTCAGAGAATTTAAGTAAATTGCCCAAGGTCATCTAGCTAGTGAATTACAGAGCTGGATTTTGAACTCCATTTGACCTTAAATCCTCTTTTTGAAATCATCTTTCTAAACTCCTTGAAGGAAAGGAAAGATACAGATGAGAAGAACAGGATGGTGCCATGCAGAAAGTTGGATGGAACTGTGCAGTGGGGGCAGGTATGGGGTCGCATTCTTAAGGAAAAGGAGAGGAGGTCTACATGTTTTCATAGACCTTGCCCTTCCTACTAAGCTAAATGGATTTACATCACTGGCACACTTAGACACTTAATCAATGGACCGTATGGCCAGCAAGGCAGAAGTCACCCCCCACGGAAGGCTTTGGCCCATATGTGGATCTTCATTTCATGCTTTCTTATTTAGATCAGAGAGACCCTGAGGTTATGTGAGGATGTCTCTGACCGATAAAGTCAGGCAAACTGAAGAAAATCCCAGTGAGTCCTCTGAGATAAGACACTCTGAGGAATCAGGTTTGTGTTGAAGTTGTCCTTAGCTTGCTGAATATCAGGGGTACACTGCAGTCAGTCTCTATGCTTGTACCTTAGACCATCAGAATGTGCCTACTGGATTTGGCAAGCAAATGCTCTAGCAAGTTGAAGCTTTGTTGAATGTGCCCAGAGAACATTTTGCTTTTAATGTCTTTGGAAACTATACATTTAATTCCTGCTGGGGAGTAATAGTAATTGCTTCACTAAGGGAAAAAGTCATCTCTTTAAAAGGTTTACCTCCTTTTACAAACATGTGCTTTTTAAAAACTGGGAAATTCCTGGTCGCAGGAAAAAAAAAAATGTCCTTTTGTGAAAATGAGGTCATTCTGGCCTTAACTGGCCCTGTGCACCCTCTAGTTCCTCTGTTCTGTTCCATGTTTTGGGACCAGAGGTTATTGGGAGGTTAATCCCCCTGTGGATAGTAACTGCTTTTAGGGCATATTGCCAAAGAGAAAGTTATCTTAACTCAGAAACTGCCCAGCCAGTGCAAGAGGCCCAGGTCCCAGGGGTACTGAGCCAATGACTGATAATAACTTGGTTTAGGTTGGCTGTGGGGTGGATTTTTAAAGCACACTTTCCTATGCTTCAGCATTGCTATGTCTGCTTCATCCTCTTTATTTTTCCTTCTTCTTCTTCTTCTTCTTTTTTTTTATCTTTATTGTTGAATGTATTACAGATGTTCCTCATTTTTTCCCCATTGACCCCCTCCTCCCCACTTCTGCCAGACTCCTGCCTTTTCCCACACTGTTGTCTGTGTCCATTGGTTATGCATATATGCATATAAGTTCTTTGGTTTATTTCTTCCCACCCCCCAACCTCCTTTCTCTTTGAGGTTTGTCAGTCTAGCAACCAATTTCTACTTCTTAATCCCTTCACCTTTTTCACTCATTCCCTCATACCCCCTCCCATTTGGCAACTAACAAAATGTTCTCTATGAGAATGTTTCTGTTCTGCATGTTCATTTCGTTTGTAGATTCTATTGTTGATAGCTATGTATTCATTGCCATTTTGTTTGTTCATATTTTTTATTTTTTTCTTCAAGAAGACCCTTCAACATTTCATATAATAACGGTTTGGTGGTGATGAACTTCTTTAGCTTTTCCTTGTCTGGGAAACTCTTTATGTGGCCATCGATTCTAAATGACCGCTTTGCAGGATAGAGTAACCTTGGTTGTAGGTTCTTGCTTTTCATCACTCTGAATATTTCTTGCTACTCCCTTCTGGCCTGCAGAGTTTCTTTTGAGAAATCAGCTGACAGTCTAATGGGAACTCCCTTGCAGGCAACTAACTGCTTTTCTCTTACTGCTTTTAAGATTCTCTCTTTGTGTTGAACCTTTTGCATTTTGATGATGATGTGTCTTGGTGTGGGCCTCTTGGGGTTCATCTTGTTTGGGACTCTCTGTGCTTCCTGGACTTGTATGACTGTTTCCTTCACCAAGTTAGGGAATTTTTCTGCCATTATTATTTCAAATAGGTTTTCGATTTCTTGTTCTCTCTCTTCTCCTTCTGGCACCCCCAAGATGTGAATGTTGGCACGCTTGACGTTGTCCCAGAGGCTCCTTACACTATCCTCATTTTTTTGGATTCTTTTTTCTTTTTGCTGTTCTGATTGGGTGTTTTTTGCTTTCTTATATTCCAAATCGATTGTTTGCTTCTTGGCTTTACCTACTCTACTATTGAATCTGTGTAAATTATTCTTTATTTCAGTGCCTCTTTCATTTCTGACTGTGCATCCTTCATTTCTGACTGGTCCATTTTGTTGCACTGACTGGTTTATTTTTATGCTCTTGAGGCCCTCACTAAGTTCACTGAGGTTGTCACTAAGTTAATTGAGCATCCTTATAAGCAGTATTTTGAACTCAGCATCTGTTAGGTTGCTTATCTCCATTTTGCTTAGTTGTTTTCCTGGGGTTTTGTTCTGTTCTTTCATTTGGGACCTGTTTCTTTGTCTCCTCATTTTGGCTGCCTCCATGTATTTGTTTCTATGTATTACATAACGGGAGGTATGGGGCTAGCTGAGACCAGATGCTGCTCCTTTGAAAGAATTAAAAAAAACCTGAAGCAGGATCTTACAGGCCAATCCTATGGTAAAGCAACAGGCAACAGCTTGGGTGTGCTGGAAAGTGCATGGGTGGGGCAGGAACTCAGGGAATCATCAGGGTGGGCAAACAGTGTGAGCCAGGTTGCTGGAGTCCCAGATATAGTGGCTGTCTGCCGCCCCAGGGAAGGGCTCACCAAAGAAACAAAGGCCTCTGACAGCATGTCTCTCCGGGAGAAAGCCCCCTCTCCAGCTCTCGCTCCAGTGCCAAACAGCTCAGTTCTTCCCTGTATGTCTCTGGTGCCCCTCAAGCTGCCTTCCCTCCAAGCTTAGAGGGAGAGAGTCCGGTAAGTCTGTTCGCGGGCCCTTTAAGAGGAGCTGCCTGGGGCTCCAGCTGCTTCAGCTTCCCTGAGCCTCAGTTCCTGCTGTTTTTGTCCAGCCAGAAGTGATGGGGACTTCTCTTCCTGGCACTGGAACCCTGAGTGGGGCGCCTGGTGTGGGACGGGGACCCCTCAGTCCTCAGGGAGAACCTTCCCAGCGAGGTGTCCTCCTGACTTTTATCCACCACACGTGGGTGTGGGACCAGCCCATCATGCCTCCGCCCTTCCTACCAGTCTCGATGCAGCTGCTTCTTTAATTTCGTAGTTGTAGGACTTCCATTCAGCTTGATTTCAGGCGGTTTTGAATGATGGTTGTTCTGTAGTTTAGTTGTAACTTTGATGTGGTTATGGGAGGACGCGATACCGTGTTTACCTATGCCGTCATCTTGACCGGAAGTCTGCTTCATCCTCTTTAGATTGCTCAACAACTCCATTGCTTCTCGGTTCAGGAATGATATTTCTTTCCCAGGCACATTCTATTTACTTCACTTAGATTCTGTCTTTGATGAGTAGAACCATCTGTGCCAGACTGAAGCTTCATGTTCATCTTTTTTAACCTGGTGTAAATGAAAAACAGCTGCTGAAAGAAGCTGCCCTGAACCTCTTTCTCTGAACACTCAGAGGATGATTCCTCCTAAAATTAATTCTGAATTGGCTTGGCTAGAGAGAAGGTTGTGCCTGAGGCCTTAGGTTTGCTCAGGGTGAGCGTTCTCATAAGTGACAGTGTAGAGCATCTCAGTGGATGCTCTTGATTTAATGCAAGTTCACTTTCTTCTAGCTTTAAAACAACCATTCCCTACCATGGAGGATGTTGAAACTTTAATGAGCGTGAGGGAGAGAGATACTAATATGGAAGGGGTTCAAGCGAACTTTGACTACGACCTTTGTAGTCTCCTCTAAATTAAATATTGTTAAGGCAACCACTCTGAAAGAATAGGGATGGGAAATAAACTGATATTTCTTAACTGTTTCTTAGGTGCCAGCAATGTTTCTGGATCCTTTCTGCAGATTACACTTTTAGATTTGTCCAGATTCTTGAACTTTAATTAGTGGGCACCCACCAGGTCATCTAACTACCTTTCTGTCTTATGTCTTGAAGGGCTGTGTCAGAGTCATGTTATTCCCCTATAATTCATCCATGGCTACAGTGGATCAGTATTTTGATAAGCCTCTGATACCTGTTTTTTTGTGCTTGATTGACTACAGCTTTTTATTATTTTAAAATTTACACTCTTGCCACTGAGAATTTGGTTTTCATTATAATTTTTTAATTAAATCTATGTTCTGGGATCCTGGTGTCACTTTTATGGCTCTCTAGGTCTGAAATGCTCTGTTGCCTAAGTAAGTCTAAGAATAATTTTTTTTTTTCAGTGTCTTGTAGTTTTCTGCAAATAGGTTTTTAACTTCTTTGGTTAAATTCCTAGGTATCATAATTTTTTTGCCATGATGGTAAATGGGATTGTTTTTTTAGTTTCTCTTTCTGTGAGTAAGAATACTTTTTTGATCTGGGACTAAGGAACTCTATTTTTAGCTGTCATGGCGAGGAGAGGATTATAAAATTTAGTCACGAGCTGTTTAGGTATTTGCTTCAGACCCCATTTCTTGCCCAGAGCACACGTGGCCCCTCTAGGAGGTTCCAGAATCCCTGCTTGGAATATCTTGGATTGGTGTAGGAGTTAGGCTTGCCCTACATGACCCACATTTCTTCAGTACATCCTATCCCCACTGTCCCCCAGGGCCTAGGCTTATTATAGTCAGCCAGTGAGTGTTTTATTGAACTTAATAGCTGGTACAAAATAATTGGGAAAAATATGGCTAGGAAATGCTATTATATTTGAAATTGGGAAATTCTGGGTAATTGCTGAGTGCCTCATATTAGTTCCTGTGGGGGAAAATACATGGCAAAATACATCATGGGTTAATACCACAAAGCAAAAACTCTTATCAGATAAATCAGAAGTTACATATCTGCTTATGATGCTCAGAATGGGAATGGCACTGATTTGCTGATAATTTATTTTTATTATTATTGTTATTATTATTCTGTAGCCTCAGACGATTCAGCAAACTCTCAAGAGGACATTGCAGTACTATGAGCACCAAGTAATTGGGTAAGTAAAAATGGATTTTGGTCATTACTGGGGGCAAATTAAAGATAATTACTCAAATGTAGCTATTGAGCATGTGGGTTTCTGCCACCAGGTCAACCTTTTTTCACAGGGACTGTGCTCTCAGTATGGAGTGGTTGCTCAGGAGGGGCTCTTGGAGGAACTTCCTTAGGCTCATTTGTGTTGAATCCTTTTAAATAAAGTCCCCTTTTAGTATTGATTTTTCTTTTCTTTTTTTCTTCTTGTGTATTTATCCTTTCATTTTCATCCATTGAATCTCATAATTTTGCCTTAGTAGTGTGGTAGGATTTAATGGTGCCAACCAAGAGGCTTTATTCCTTTAGTAAAGTTTAATCAAAATTATTCCAAGCTTAATATAGTTCAGTGAGAGGTACTGTTTTAGCCAGTCACATTCCACATGTTTTTCTCTTCTATCCCCCATCTGTTCTCGTCATTGTGATATGGTGTAAAGTAAAACTTGAGGTAAGATAACAGTAATTCGGGACCTCACTAGCTCATAGAACTTTTAAGTAACTTTATCTCTTTTGCTAGGGAAATGAGGACAATAATAACTAAATCAAGGAATAGATTTCATTATCAAATGAGATAATTTATAAGAAAGTATTTTGTAAATGGAAAGCTTCAAATGAGTGAAAGGTTTACCTTTGATTGACTGTTGCAGAAAGCAATGGGCAAATACAAAATTCTAAATTTCTGATGCAATTTAGCTATTTAAAGTCAGTGACATTAGAGGCAATGCATATTTTTAATTTACCTCATTAATATTCTCTATGTGCTACAGTGACTTATCTTTGTAAGTTTTTAAGAACTCTTGAGGAGTCAAGATTCAAACCCTGGTGATATGCTTTCAGAATCATTGAACATTTATGGTTAGTAGTCATTACCATGGGGATCAAGGATATATTTTTGTCTATTAAGGTGTTTTATAATTTTTTTTACAAAACAAAAAGGAAGAAAACTTAGCAGAAAAGTAATCTCAGTACCTAGTACAATGACTTATACTTGAAGTGCTTGATGATTATGTTAATTGTCATTTCAGAGGGAATTGCTTTGAAACTTTGTCATGTCAATTCTCAAGAGTGCAACACTAGGAAAAACATATTATTTAAACTCATGAGATGGCTTTGAGTTTGAGGCCATTAGGGATTTTAAATTGTTTATACTAATGGAGATATAGAATGTCAAATTGATCTCTCTCCACACATTCTAAAATAAAACTTATCACTCTCAATGGATATGCAGCTTTCCAAGTATGGTGTTTAGATTAAATTTGTCAATATACTTAGATCAGTTCCTGGTACATGGTAAATAGTACATGTTTGCTGTTGGGTTTATCATCATCTTCATTATTCATATTTTATGACAGTATTAGTAGTCAAATGTAAATTATTTTATAGAATTATGAATGTCCTCTCTGGTTTGAAATCAAATAGTAACTGATGAAATAGTCTCATTTGTGAATTAAACTATGTCTTCCAAGGAAATTGGAATGGGAATCTTATAAATTTGATCAAATCAATATCTAAACTGTATTATCATAATCAGCAGAATTTTTTTTTTTCTGTTTTTAAGATGGAGTTGTCTTTTATTTAAACTACTGCCTCAGTTCTGCTCTTCTGTCTATCCATGTGGACATAGCCTGTGGTGATTCTTTGTTCATAACCGAAATGGTCATTTCTAGTTCGGTTTAATGTGAACACAGGATAATGAAAACAGACAGGGAATGAGACTCCAATATAAAGGAGTGTTTTGATGTCTGACTGGTTCCAAATAGACCTATGAGCATATTTTTTACTTGGGTGTTGGCTGCTTTCTGGGGACTTGAAGTACCTTCACTCTCTGCCTTTATTTGTACTCATGCTGATGAAGACAAAAAGGGCGGGTTGGCAGAATGTTGTCATATTTGCTTTTTTAGACTTTGTCTTTTCTTTTCCTTCTGTCATGGCTTCCATGTCCAATGCCCTCTTTTGCCTTTTAGACTCCATCTTTCTGTTTTCTTTCTCTTTTCAATACTGAAAAGGAGAGCATCTGTTACCACTGCCATTTGGGTTAACATGTATTCACACCAAGGTGTTGTTCCTTTTAAGAAAATACAATTGGCCTGGCTGGTGTAGCTCAGTGGTTGAGCATAGACCCATGCACCAAGAGGTTGCTGATTTGATTCCCAGTCAGGGCACATGCCCAGGTTGTGGGCCAAATCCCCAGTTGGGGGGCATGCAGGAGGTGACCAATCGATGTTCTCTCTCATTCATGTTTCTACTTCTCTCCCCTTCTCCCTTTCTTTCTCTAAAATTAATGAAGGAACAAAAATTAAAAAAAAAAGAGAGAGAGAGAGAGAGAAAAGAAAATACATTTGAAGGGTTTTATTCCTGTGAAAAGGAATTTGTTTTTTCCCCTTAAAAGGATTTCAGGCGTTGGGTACTGTACTATTTTACACATTTCTGGGGAGGTTAGGGTGGGAAAGAGATGCTTTTCCTAATCCCTGCAGTGGGGCTTTGCTAAGGCTTGTCTTGAGGTAATTCAACTTTAACGTGCCTTGGTTTGGGATGATGAATCCAGAGGCATCACAGAGAGTAGAAGCTAGCCCTTCTCTTCTCAGTTTCTTAATCTAGTCTTGAGCTACTCACCTTCCTCTTCTCCTTTTCCTCTCCTTTAAAGCTCTGCCCTGGGATCTGCTTTATTTACCAGAGCTCCAGGATCGCATGATTCTGCTCTTTGATTAATTCATATACCAGTAGCCCATAGAAATCCTTGGAGGCATTTTCAGTCTCCAAGACCTAGACTTGAATACAGGGAGCAGCTGTTCAAAATCACACAGGTAGAGGATTGGGAGGAAGTAGCCAATGGAGTCTCTTGTTAGGGAGTGAGATAGCTTCTCTGTAGTTTAGTAACTTTATCTTTAAATGTCCGGTTCTGTTCTTGAACTTATCCATTCACTTGTTCATTTATTTATTCATAGACATCATTCAAGTTGGGAATGAGCGCTTACATAATTTATTTATACAATGTGCTAAATCTCTTCATCTCCACTGTTACTACCGTCTCTCACCTAGAGGTTCTGATCTAGCTTTCCTGTGTCTATGCCTGTCCCTTAAGGTTATATTCTCACTGCAGCAAAATGATTATAAAATTAGATCGTAACACTTTCTTACTTGAAACCAGTGGTTCTCAAGTGTTAATGTGCATCAGAATCACCTGTCAGGCTTGCTGAAACTCAAATTGCTGGGCCCTGCTGTACAGTCCCTGATGTTCAGGAGAGGCTCAAGAATTGGCATTCTTACAAAATTTTATTGAAATACAATTCAAATTTATTAATCACTTGTGTTTGAAAAAAGCATAAAGACACACAATCGCTCTACTTTGTTTTTATTGTCACTCTGCCTTGTTTTAATTGTCTTTATAGTATCAGATTTATATATATTTTTAGGCAAGATACTAATATGGAGGTTTTATTTATTCTATCTCAGCCAAGGGGTTGGCATTTCTAAGTTCCCAGATTATGTTAATGCTGCTGGTCCAGGGATCATACTTTTTAAAATTTAATTTAACTTACTTTTTTCCATCACCATTTATCCCTTCTAGTCCCTCTTCCACTCCCCTACCCCCACTTTGAAATCCCTGATTTGAACCATATCAAGACTGACTGTGATAGGGTAAAATCTGAATCCTCTTCGAGACCTGTCCTCTGCTTACCTCTCTCAGTTCATCCCCTTCCATTGCCCCTATTTCACTCCACTCGGGCACTCTAGCCACCTGTTAATGTCTCAGATATACCAAGCTTCTCAGCCTCAGGGCCTTTGCATGCACTGTTCCATTTTCCTTGGAATGCTCTGTTCCTTGATGTTTGTGTAGATTATTCTTTTTATACATGTAGGTGTCTGTTTAAATGCAGTCTCTTCAGAAGGACCTTCCCTAACCACCCAGTCTTTTTTTGTTTTAAATGTTTTTATTGATTCTTTAGAGAGAGGAAGGGAGAGGGAGAGAGATAGAAACATAAGTGAGAGAAGCATCAACGTTGACTGGCTGCCTCCTTTGTGCACCCCACTGGGGATTGAGCCTGCAACTTAGACATGTGCCCTGACCAAGAATCAAACCAGTGACCTCTTGGTTCATAGGTCGATGCTCAAATCACAGGTCCACACCAGCTGAGCCTGACCACCCAGTCTTAAGTGACCCTCTATCCCCTACTTTAGCCTCCAACCCTGATTATTTTATTATTCTTTATTATTTCTTTTCATAACACTTATCATTAACTTTTATATGTTGTTATTTGGTTATTTATTTCTGTATTTCTGTACCTTTGTAAATGCTTGGTACCTAGCAGGGACTAACAATTTTGGGAGGCTGTGAGGAAGTGTGAAAAATGAATAAATTGTACCCTAGAGGTATGTACCCAGAGATATGTATATAGTGGATAAAAGAGTAAATTATGCTTGGAAAGGGGGTATAAAATTAGGGGTTGAAATAATCTCCAGGGTCCATTACAGTACTAAAGTTAGAGTACTGGTACCCAAGACCCTTTTCTTTTCCTTTTTAAATAATTTTTTAAAAAATTGAGTTTAGAGAGAGAGGAAGGGGGAGAGAGATAGAGATAGAAACATCAATGAGAGAGAACATCAACTGGCCACCTGTATGCCCCCTACTGGGGATTTGGCCCACAACCTGGGCATGTGCCCTGACTGGGAATTGAACTGGCGACCTCTTGGTGCATGGGTCAGCACTGAACTACTGAGCCACAGCAGCCGGGCAGCCCTTTTCTTTATAGCCAAATTATATTTATTTATTTGTATAGTTTTCCATTAATGCTTAATGTGCTGCCACTGTGTGTTAGATTCACTTTGGGGTTAATTTTGATTACTGTGTAAACTCTACACAAGCATGTTCCCTTGGATAGCATCTTACACATGTAGCACAGTCTTCTTCCCCCACCTAGAATGAGTAAAGGGGGAATTGAGGGAACATTTTGTGCTGCTTTAACTCAA